TCTCCTGCCTCAGCCTCCCAAGTAGCTGGGACACAGGCACCCGCCACAACGCCTGGCTATTTTTTGGTTGCAGCCATCATTGTTGTTTGGCAGGCCCGGTCTGGATTCGAACCTGCCACCTTAGGTGTATGTGGCTCGCGCCTTAGCCACTTGAGCCACAGGTACCGAGCCCGGTGCTAGACTTTTTGCCGCCACTACAAAATATAAATAATACAAGTACTATCTGCTAAATTCATGAAATAAATAAACAAATTACTTACCTAAATTATCTGAATAGCTGATTTGTTGACATCACTTGTTTAACTAGCACTAGTACGCAGTACAATGTGTATCGTCTGAGAGACAGTTACAAAATGTTTTCGTGATTGCCAATGCCAAAAAATACCATTGTTCATTAAGTCCAAACAATGGTTGTCGAATTCTAACAACTGATCAACAATGCGAACTTTGATAATCAGTTCTCGATAATCAGTTCCCAACAATTATTTGTTATTATTAAAGTTTAACATTATAAAATTAACAAAAATAATATAAAACTCATATCCTGGCAAAACAGCCACATGGCAGCCAAAAACCATATATTCCTTTCCCATTCTCCTGCCGTTCCCTAGCTTGTTGTGCATTCTTTCCAAAAATCGGGACTTTTTAAAAACACCATGGGACGTGGGACAAATTGCTAAAAATTGGGACTATCCCGCCAAAAGCAGGAAATTTTGTCACCTTAGATTACAGGCATCCGCTATAATGCCTGGCTGTTTTTTTGTTGCAGTTTAGCCTGGGCCAGGCTTGAACCTGCCACCCTCACTCAGTACATGGGGCCAGCACCCCATTCACTGAGCCATAGGCACCGCCCCAGGCTTATATTTTTTTAAATTGTGAGTCTTAGCATACCACAAGGACTTCCCTGCATCTTGCTTCATCACTCCCCCTCTACTCCTCCAAGCACACACTTAACCATAAGATTAAATCTTGGAGAGCCTTCATGGTTTGGCTCTAGAGCCAGACCTTGAAACTTAAACCCTGGCTCCATCATTTACTAGTTGTAATCTTTCTCAAGTTACTTGTGTTGTTTTCAGCAGCTTTAAAAAGAAAAAAAATGGAAATGATAATGGTTTTATTTTGAGACATGAGCTATATCTATAAACAATAGAATAGGCCTGGCATATAGTAAGTACTCAGTAAATGTTACCTATTATTATTGTTTTTTTTGTTTTTTTTTTTTTTTTTTGAGACAGAGCCTCAAGCTGTCCCCCTGGGTAGAGTGCCGTGGCATTACAGCTCACAGCAACCTCCAACTCCTGGGCTCAAGCGAGTCTCCTGCCTCAGCCTCCCAAGTAGCTGGGACCACAGGTGCCCGCCACAGCGCCCGGCTATTTTTTTTTTTTGGTTGCAGCCATCATTGTTGTTTTGGCGGGTCCGGGCTGGGGATTCGAACCCGCCACCTTAGGTGTACATGGCTGGCGCCTTAGCCGGTTGAGCTATAGGCGCCGAGCCACCTATTATTATTGTAATACACTATTTCATCCTTTTATTAGCTGTATAGAATACAATTCCATGGATTTTTTACTAAAGTAGTTCCTTATTGATGATTATCTTTTATGATTACAGTGTTGGGATGAATCTTGTCTGTGCATTTTATCATTGATATTAAGCATGTTTTCATGGGCTTATGAGTCATTAATATTTTTCTTTTCCTGTGACCAATCTTCAGATACTTTGGCCATTAAGTTATTGGTCCTTGCTTATAGGAGGTATTTTACATATTATATAAATCAGCCCTTTTTTTGAGCAGATGGTGTGATTGATCATAGCTCATTGCAGCCTCACTACTAGGCTCAAGTAATCTTCCTGCCTCAGCCTCCTAACTATCTGGGACCACTATGTGTGACCACACATGGCTAATTTTTTTTTTTTTTTTTATAGAGATGGGGTCTTACTATGTTATCTGGATTGGTCTCCAACTTTTGGGCTCAGTAATCCCCCTGCCTTGGCTCTCAGAGTGCTGGGATTATAGGCATGAGCCACTAGGCCCAGCCTAAATCAGTCCTTTGAACAATGTCTAAGTTTTATATATTTTTTCTGGCTTTTGACTTCATTTTACTACTTTTTTAACCATGTAGAAAAATATCCACTTTTCCTTTGTAAAAACCATATGACATGGTTTAATAGCACATTTAAATAGGCTTACCTTATTGAGATTATACAACCTCAAACTCTTGGGCTTAAGCCATTCTCCTCTTGCCTCAGCCTCCTGAGTAGCTGGGACTGTAGGCATCCTCCACAACTCCTGGCTTTTATTGTTGTCGTTGTCGTCGTTTAGCAGGCCGGACCTGGTTTGAACCCACCAGCCTTGGGTGCATGTGGCTGGCACCCTAACCACTGAAGTACGGGCACCAAGCCTAGTATTCTTATAATTTCAGTTTTTACACTGAAGTTTTTCCTCCATTTTACATTTATTATAGTGTTTGCTGGAAAATAAAAGCTTAGAGTAAGTATATCCTCATACAATAGACCATCAGTAACTTAGCTCTGCCTCTTTAAATGCCTTTTTGAAGTAAATGTGTATAAATAAAACTCACCACTTCGAAAATGATAAATTTCTCCTTGATTCTTGAGGTTAAGTGGAAATATATTATTTATTGTTATTGAAGGTACTCTCGTAAAGAAAAATATTTTTCCCAAACAAAATCCATGTTAAGTGTGTTGAAGTAAATCATCTCAATGCTGAAATCTCGAGAAATATTTAGGCAAATGCCTAAAATATTCACTGAAGTAACTTAACTTTAGGATAGATAGATTTGCTTGTGATTTTATCTCCTCTCACCCCAGGTTGCGAGTTATAAGGACTCAGCATCATATAGAAGCATTTGTTGAGCATCAGAGTGGCCAGATTGCGGTTTCGGTGTCCACTCGTGAATGGGCTATTAAAAAGCACCTTTACAGTACCAGAAACGTGGTGGCTTGTGAGAGTGTAGGACGAGTGCTGGCACAGAGATGCTTAGAGGCAGGAATCAACTTCATGGTCTACCAGCCAACCCCTTGGGAAGCAGCCTCAGACTCGGTATTTTTGTTTTCATGTACTTATTTTAAAGATACTGTGTTAAATATTGACATAATAACAGCTTCCATTTACCTAGCACTTTCTGCGTATCAGACCTTTTGGTGAGTACTGACAGCATTACCTCATTCAATCCTCACATAAATCCACAGGGTAGGGACCAGTGTCTGTATTGTATACATCAGTGTTTTTCAACCTTTTTTATCTCATGGCACACGTGAACCTATAGTAGAACTTCTGAGGCACACTTAAATTACATTGATCCAAAAAAATAATAAAAATAGAGTATTGTCTGGGTGCTGTGGCTCACACCTGTAATCCCAGGATTCTGGGAGGCTAAGGCAGGTGGGTTGCTTGAGCTCAGGAGTTTGAGACCAGCCTGAGCTGGAGTGAGACTCCATGTCTAAAACTAGCTGGATGTTGTGATGGGCACCTCTAGTTTTAGCTACTCAAGGAGCTAAGGCAAGAGGATCACTTGAACCCAAGAGTTTGAGGATGCTATGGGCTACAAAGCCACAGCACTGTACCAGGGGTGACTAAGTGAGACTTTTTTTAAAAAGTGGGCCAGGCACAGTGGCTCATGGCCTGTAATTCTAGTACTTTGGGAGGCCAAGGCTGGTGGATTGCCTGAGCTCACAGGTTTGAGACCAGCCTGAGCAAGAGAGAGAACCTATCTTCTAAAAATAGCGGGGCATTGTGGTGGGCTTCTGTAGTCTCAGCCACTTGGTAGGCTGACACAGGAGAATCACTTGAGCCCAAGAGTTGAGATTGCTGTGAGCTGTGATGCCACAATACTTACCGTGCTTTGAACATCTTTTTTATCTTTTGAAAATAATTTAATTAATGATCTTTAAAAAATTTTGCAGCATACCCGTGTGCATGGCACACTGGTTGAAAATCACTGCTATATATCAATAAACTGAGACTGACTCACCTGGAATAAGTTTATGATAGATTTCAAATAGAGGTTGAGTGATTTTATATTCTGTGATGTCAGCAACTATATTTCATGTTCAGTGACATTCATATCTTGATAGATTTTTGTATAATTTATTTAAAATTTTATATAATATTTTAAAGTACTGCTGATACTTAACACCACATCTCCTTTTTCTTACCTATGTCATTATTAAAATCACTTTCTGAGGCTCACTGCCCATAGCTCAGGGGTTAGGGTGCCTGCCACATACACTGAGGCTGGCAGGTTTGAGCCCAGCCCAGACCTGCTAAACAACAATGAAAACTACAACAAAAAAATAGACAGGCATTGTGGTGGGCGCCTGTAGTCCTAGCTACTTGGGAGACTGAAGCAAGAGAATTACTTAAGCCCAAGAGTTTGAGATTGCTGTGAGCTGAGACGCCATAGCACTTTACTGAGGGTAACACAGTGAGACTCTATCTCAAAAAATAATAATAAAATCATTTTCTGAGAAACCAATGTAAGCTGGGAAGTTAGCAAGAACAAATGAGCTTATTTCTCCTGTCTCTTGGAAACTGAACTGTTTATTTTCAGCTTCTTTGTGGTCATAACCTTTTCTTTTTTTTTTTTCTGATCTTCAAAACCAGATAATACGACTAAAGAATGCCATAACAGAAGGTGGTGTAGTTCTACGGGAACCTCGGAGAATCTATGAATAAATTAGAAGCATTGTTTTGAATGTGATGAAACTTAGCAGCTGTGATAGCCACCAAAAGAGCATCCAGAAGACAACCAACTTGGCAGTTTATGGCAACATCACAGTGGGACATTTATAGTTAAAATCATAACCCCTTCCCCTTGTGTGTATGTATATTTTTTTTAAATCAAGGTTTAAATTCTTCCTCTCTTTTGGACATGAGAGAATCATCTGTGAAAAGCAGTAACAAATTATAATAAGTTCCAAAATAAAGGTTTATTATGAACTCTT